AGTCTCGTTTCTTTTTAGCCGCACCTCGTATATATATATATCTTAATTCTTACGCAACGGCGGACATTGAATTTTGGTTTTTATATTTCAGGCAGAACTGTGAATTCACATGTGCGACAGTTGTTGAAGCTCATTGTTGAACTATTAATGAGTGAATGGTATGCACAACACAAATCAATTTTGCGTTACTTTTATCTTTCACGTATAGAATTCGATCCGTTTCACAGATTGTAAATTACGGCTCCTATTTCAAGCGAACAATATTATCATTATTGACGTCCCCGGCATTTGATATTTATAAAGTTGATAGTTGACTTTTTTATGCTTTCATCTACCTATCGCGTCTGTGGTATTTCCGTATTTAAATAATAAATGAAAATTTCGCAAATTTGTCATTGTGTGAATACCCAATGTTGCTTTGAGCTAAAATACTGATTAAATAAATCGACAATAATGGCATTCCTACGGGGTCAAAATTGTTCTCCCCAAAACTCTGTAAATTTACATAGAATACATTATTATCTTTGTTTTTGCGTTTATAAATTTACATAATGGGGCTTTTTGCAAAATTAGGAATTGAAAAGATACGATAGGCTTAGAAAGAAGACAAAAACGCAGAAAACATGGAGATTTCTCACTTTTATAGTTTGTCTGTTAGCGAAGGCAGTATGCATATTCTAGCGATTCGCAAAGTATTTCAAATATATCCCAATTACTACTTACTTACGATAGGAACACTCTTAGAGCCAACTAAAAGAGATAACCTACCCCAGACGCGTTCCAAATTCTAGCGGTGTTGCGTTGCCTTAATTAAGGGGATAACGCGCAAAATAATATACGGTAGTTTTGACAGCGAAAGCGTGATGCGCTTACCGTCAAACGATAGTGTGGTTTGTTCTAAAATCTGCGCAAAAGGTAGAACACTTAGCGCGTATTCCGTACGACAGTATGTCAGCATTTATTAGGTGAAAACAGGAGCAGAAATAATGACACAGTTCATGATTGACCAACACCTTGAACGATACTTCGTTCAAAAGATTATTTTATTTATTGTACGACAACGCTCTCAAAATAAGCATCACGATTCCAAGAGTCTGGCCATTCAGACAGTGTCATTTGCCTAGCTAGTGGTATTTTAGCTGGGAACCACCATAGTGATGCTTGATGTTGAGTGGATCGAGTCTTCCATGTATCGTTATTCTGTAAACCTTATATTCTCGAAGTTGAGAGAGAGAGAGTTTATTTTTATTTGCCAAACCATGAAACACACAATACATGCCTGAATAATAAATAATAAGCGCGCCATTCAGGATTACTAGTTTTTTTCGATATTTTCAACAGTTATACCGATATAGGTTCGGCAATTTTTTCTCAAATACCATCACCTTGCGTTCCCCATACAAAGGCTCGTCATTCTTGTTCATGGATTTGTGCATTGCATTTTGTTGAATATTGCCTTCAAGTTGTGCGTTACATGGTGAAATATATCTTTTGAAATGAACAAATCCCAGTGACTTTGTAGTCGCTGGTAAAAATGGTAGAGTAGCGCTACGGCATACCTGCGCATACTGCGGTTCAGGTTATTAAAAAAAGGGGCAGTTATTGTTGTATGTTCGAAAATATTTTAACATACATGATTAAAGCTAGACCAAGTAAACAAACAATCTATCAATATTAAACTTGAAATAGACATTCACTAAAGACAAAGCAAATTCAGGAATCTAAACCTTTCTTTGGCCAAAATTCTAAACTTGACAGTCACCACCGCCAAAAGCGAAGCATGAAGCAACCAGTTGACAACTTGCCCATCAATTACGACGAACTTCTGTGTGAAGTAACAATTGGTACAGTATTAAATCTCTAAGATGCGTAACAATGGAAATTGTCCGACATCGTCACCGTAACGTCGTTTGCCGGGCATACGAGCGGTTTTTATCAGTTCTGCACGATCCTCGGACAGGTGGTGCCTTTTCCTGCAAAATGACGGGCCGCTCACCAGCACTAAATTGCGGTGAAATTAGCAATAGATAATATTGTAGGCGATATGGGAACAAGAAAGATGGCCAGTCAGTTTCTTGCGCGAGGTTAGTCAAACGAATAACTTGAAAGTTAGAATGATAACAGAGAAGACAGGCTGATTGATGGTCTGCGCAGTGCATACTACACACAGGTTTAGGATGATGTCACATTCAACTGAACCACGTCGCCAATTCGACTAGTTTAAGTCAGCTCCGACCCCATGAAAGTTACTAAATACTGGCTTGTGGTGTCAAATTAACTGTTCTCAAGTCAGCAAAAGTAACTCAGAGCAGCGCTTCGAATGTATTAGATTCACAGGCATTATTGCTTGAAGGTATGCCGGCACAACAATGATATAGTGATTAGCAGTAAAGCAAATTGGCAATTTGGATCCCCTGAGCGGAGAGGATTAATCTTTTTGACCTCTGGATGCGTGCTTGGTTATACTTCTATCAATTTTATGGTAAAAATGCGACTCTTGATATTTCAGAAGTTAATTTACTGTAGTATATATATAACTTGTTACATTTTCAAGCTCATTTTGTAAAATGCCAATTTGAAAAGCAAGAACTGGAATTATTCAAAATGTAATTGGATACCAATAATATATATTGGATGTGCCAAGCGCAACGAAAAATTCAAATTACCAAGACGTGGCTGAACTGTAATATTGACAGAGAAAAAAATTGTGAAATCGACAAAAATAAATTGGATGTCTTGAATTTTACCAAGATTTCAAGCTTGGCTGGACATTTCAACGCTAAGTGCCCCAGGACAAACCAGCTGTGTGAGAAACTTGTTGAGTCACACATAATTGTGAGAACTGCATACATAAGCTTGAAAAAATGAGGTCAGTAGTTTGGGATACCATTATTATTTAAACTGTTGTTAGTCGTGATTTCATGATAACAGAGGAGCCAGTGCTTCAAGCGGCCTTCAATATACTTTGGAATGAAATGTTTCAAAAGAAGTCGAACGCATGAGAAATTAATTTGAAGGCAAGAAGTTCCAATAAATACGAAAGATCGACCAAGTGCTTAGTGATCGCTTTTTAAATCGTATGATTGGAAATCCATGTACCCGCGACAGTCTATTATCGAAGTCCATCTTCAATAAATAGAATTGATTTCCGGGATAATACAAAAACTATAAAATTGCGCCTTAATCCGAAACACTATTTAGAAAAAAGAACGGGTGTTTGGAGCAACCATTACCCCCTCCAATTGCCATAATTTGAGATCGATATATTCTTTCGAGCGTGCGGATAAAAGTAATATACACCACGTATATATATATGCAATTAAAAACGCTGCTTGCGCGTAATAAGCATTGCGTAGTCAAAGAATTGTATATTTTTCGGTTGATTTCGCTAATAATTGCTGGCTATTTTCACTCATTAAATTCACGGTTATAGTTAATTTCATTCCACGAGTGCATTTACAATTAACACAAATAAGACTATCCGCTTAATTTCGTCATTCATACATAAATGCATTGTACTTTTTGGAACGAAGTGGACTAATGGATCGTTTCGTCATTACTTTATTGATGTTGGTATTCTTCTTCGTGTTGTTGTTACTGTTAAACCATTGCCAGACTAATTGCTTTGGCATTTCCAGTGGGTAAAGATTGTTGTTGTCACTAGAAGGCTAATACCTTTATCTTTCCCCTTCTGACGTTTTGCGTGGTCACGTCAACAAAATTAAAAATGACTTGTACAGTTTCGCGACCGCACCTCGGTTAATCTCGTGCTTAGCGTTTTTCCATGGGGCACGGTAGACTACGTACGGTACTGCAAAGAATTTGGCAATACAGTTGTGACTCGGATCATTTGTTATTCCAATTCATCACATTGGAACTGCAAGCATGAATCATCATCGTCACAGAACCTAGAAAAGCTAAGACAGTCCGGGTATCGTTACCGCTATCCCGATACATGTAGCATATATTTGAGCATGGCTCTCTTTTCTGTTTTCGTCTACTCTTGGTGCGCGTACAATTGTCGATCATTCGTCTCGTATGCAGGGCGTACATATTTATGGAAAAATAATATAAAAGTTGCAAATATGAATCCCTATCTCGCAAGTGATTTTAACTGAATTGGTCATTTTACGACTTCAGGGACAGGAATGTCGCAGACAAAATTCAAATGAACGACGAGGACCCAATCGTTGCATCAAAATATTCGCATAGTTAAGCGTCACATCGGTGCGTCGCAACAAAGATCTGGGAGAAGATGGTCAAAAATGGTACCACGTTGTGTAATTCGCCGCAATAGATAGGTTTTTACTCCACAATTTGTTACATATTTTATAGCTTGGCGTTTTAAATCGAAGGGCCGCGGGTGGTATTTAGTGATAGCGTTTCGGGCGCATTGCATCCAGACAGGGCGCAATTAGAGAAGCGAATTCGCCTTTGTTAGTCCGTCAATATGGCCGTCACATTTTGAACCTTCAAGTATGATAATTTAGCGTTGCGAAGGTATCAGTAAGCAAAGCAAGTAAACCACAATGTAACTAAATGTACGGTAGCACCGTTCATTCCTATCTTAATTTCAGAGCAATTTCGATTTTTCCAGCACTCGTATTTAAATGTTGCATAAGCCATGATTTTATTCCAATTACCTTATTTTCGATCAGGAAAATCCAAATTGCGCGACTGCAGATCTGCAGGAAAGTACTTGTGCGCGAATATGGTTTTGCAAAAACGAAAATTTGACAGAATGAAAGTAATGCGAAAAACAGTTTTTCGCGAGAACAGACTTTCACAAAATTTAGGTTTGCCAATACAGCGCGAGAATGGTAATCTGTAGTGAGCGTTCCAAGGCCAACCACTTAGCAAACGTGTCATCGGAATATGGACGTGACATTTCGAACCTTCAAGCGGGATAAGCCACGCGATGGAAACAGTAAGCAAGTTACTCAATATGCCAACATCTGCACTTTTCAATACCCATATTCACCTATCATAAAATATTATCATACACTTTTTTCAAACATCAATTCGACAAAAAAAATAACCAGATACACAAATAAATTGTTAAAAATTTCAAGCAAGATTTTTGACAACGTCAGTATGGAGTATCAGTAGAATCCCAAGGCTGGCTCAAATCTTCTTTGAAATTTTAACATCAATAAAAATACGATATTAGTGATAAAATAGATGAGATAATCAGCAGTGTTCCTGTTGACATAATTACGATTTGATTTTTACTTTTAGAGGAAGGGAAAGCTGGCAGAATGGTACGGTAAAACTAAAACATGGTGATTTATTCGCTCTTCCTTGTTTAAAAATAGGATTTACTGCAGCCATTTTGGCATTCCAGATATATGGTTGTTATATGCTTTTGTCAAATGTATAAGTACGAGTGAATTTATAGAACGAGAAAAACAGTGCTGTTGAGTAGGTCTGAGTTTTTGCTGGCCGGGTGCTAAATTAAAAATTCGAGTTCTCCATAGCCAGAGTCAACTTTTTAGTACTGGTATTCCAGAATCAGAAGCTCAGGAGTCAGATTAGAATTTTTCATATTTGTTCCATGTAAGAAGTCCAAGGCGGCCGCAATTCAATCATATAGCAAGCCATTCGATTATTATTTGGTTGGTTTGGTAATAGTTGTTCCAAATGCATGAACTTGAATAATTTCAGATATCGGTATCTATCAGGCAAGTACTTCATTAAAAAACTACATGGCTGGCGATTAAAAAAAAATACGAAATATTGCAGTTAAATTACTATGACCTCATAATGAAAAAACTGACAGTTTTATGATATAATAATATTGATTCAAGTTATACAATCACCCCCACTCATGCCATTGAAGTATTGTCGATTGGGTATGAGCATGAAAAGACAGCTATGGGGGGGGGGATTTGTCATGCTCGTTTTTATAGGGTTAAGATCCAAGAATCATGATTTACAGAAAGGAAGATTATTATATTTCTAACATCGGAAAATAGTAATAGAAGGAATTCTTGGGTGTAGTGTAGTAGAAATCTTCATACAATGATATTCCCTTGTTTAGGTGTTTTATTACAACTTTGCTCTGAACGAGACTCTAAATGAGCAGATACTGGGAGGTAAAGAGCCGGGCGTTCTTGTAGAGACTCAAGTCGAGGGTTAGGAATTAAGAAACTCCATCATGTATGCTTATCTGGAAAGACTGATTAATTTAAGCAAGTTTCCAAGCGCTAACACTCAAATATGGGTCATTAGGGAAGTTGCATTCCCTTACTGACTGTGACCCACAAAACAGACCTATTCACTATTAGGAAGTCTACCCTAAGCAAGGTTAACAGCGCTCACCCTAAAATATATTGTCAGCAGAGAAGTTGTAGGTGACCCACTCACAAAACAGATGATTAATTTTAACAACTAAATAAAACATATGTAACACTGGCCCAACAATCAATAGAATCTCTAATAGTACGATATGGATAATTTGATTTCATTGAATTAGGGTGATATTTATAAAATCTCACAGACACAACTCAGTTTTCTTAGCATTCACTTCATATTGAGTTGTCAAATCGAATGAATAAAAGGTATATTATATAATATTGATTAAAATTCATTGAAAATTATGATCACCGATAACTTGGAAGCTGAAGCCGTACTGAATTACTTACAAAACACTCCCGAACGCAAAAGAGAACATATTCTGATGCCAATCCATCAATTTAAAATATTCAGAATTTGTAGGTAAATTGTAGAATACCGCTATTCAGATATCTACCTCTCAAAATAGCGGAAGGTTACAATCAAAAAAATTATTACTCCAAATGAACTCTAGGATTTTCATTATTATCTAAAAGAGGAAAGTTGATGAGACGGAAAAGCACAGCCTCTTATCAGCTTATGTCGGGGAATATTTTGAATAGTTGACCAGTTATTTACCTGACTAGTTGATTCATATTCAAGTAGTCATTCTTAAAATACATTATCGAACACATCCTAAATTAGGCAGGTCGTAGAAGTCAATGTATATTCAGTTTGAATTTGGAAATGCATGGCAATTAAGATGAGAATGTTTCGACTTTTTTTATTTCTATCAGTTTTCAGACATTGAATGAAGACTATTAAATATAGTGTTGAATTTCCCAAAATTGAGAATTTAAAAAATCCTGTCTCTAACCAATGACAAACTATCATCCTAATATGTTGTCGGTAAGAATCATTTCGGAGTAGCGAAGATTCTGCTAAAAAATATAGCTAAAACACTATTAAATTTGCGATATAGCTCACACGGCGAGCTCCCAATGCTTGTATATAATATTGCAGCAGCACACATAATAATATAACGGAAAAATCAAACAGGAACGAATAAAAATGCTGATTTGCTTGATAACAGGCATGTCGTTTCCATGGCGATGGTGCTTAGAAAGCAGAATTATTCATCTGCGACGGTTGCTATGGTAACAATCAGTAAAGTTTAAGCTCCAGATAAGAAGTTGGGACGTATCTGAAAAAAGATATATTAATAATGTCATCTGCTATTCATTCCTTGCTGAATTTAATTTGCAATTTCTCAATAACACAGGGTGTTGATAAATTACTGTTACAATTCCAATTTTGTTATGAAGCCAGTTCTCAATATATCCTAAGTTCTTAACCAGGTTGGTTTTATTTCAAAGTGCTTTTTTTTTAAGCCTTTTTGCTTCAGTAAATACGCCTTTAGCGGCCAACAAACTATATATGGTACCGATAAATTCCCATTGCAATTTATGAAATATTAAGACAGTATGAACATCCTGCATTTACCAACACGAACTATGCTGTTGCAGCTTGATATTGCTAAAGGAATAAGACCATTCTTCAAATATTTCCATGATTGTTTCATTTTTTATATTGGTGATGTTCAAGCCTTTTTTTGTTCAAGAAAAGTTTGGACTAGTTTTTTAAATTAGACTACATAAGTGTGAATATTCTTTTTAAAAATATTCAACATACAGTCTGCACCTAATTGGCAATACATCACTTGCTTCCAAGGGGGCCCCCAAATCCAAAACTACAGGGTGGTCCCTAGAAGAGCAGAAAATTTGAAGGTCAGATGAGATAATGAATAAAAGTGTAGGTATAGGTTGAATTGCAATGATATCCCACAAGGTAACATTCAAAATGCTACACAAGATTGGACTTTTAGGTTAAGACACTGCTCTGAAGTGCACATGGACAACATTTGAGCATGTATGACTGTAATATAGCATATAAAATCTACCCTTGAAAAAGTTATTTCATTCCTTGTAAAAATAAAAAACTGTTGATAATTTTTTTGTTTTTCTAGCTACCAGCCTGTAGAACAGGGGTGGACCAGGGGCCAAAAATTTTGCCCACCTAGACTGGTGGGCCACATAAGTGTGACGTAAGTTACATTTTATGAACAATGTTCATACTGTGTTATAAAAGCAAAGTCGAAAACAATAAGTCGCATGCCAATACTAAATTTAATCGCAATCTCAACAAACTTCTTGAGATATTTTTCAGATTGAACATCAAAATTTAGTTTGGTTGTGGCAGCAATCAGGCGGGCCAGATTGAATTACTCAACCTCGCAGTAGTTTGCCCACCCCTGCTGTAGAAGGAAGTTATACAAAGTAACGTTCTTACCCATCCACTTCATCTTTTAAAACCCTTGTCCAACCATCACCTTTATCGGCTTCTAAAACAGTAAATTCTTCGCCTTCTTTCATTGACATTGCCCCTTCACTTTCAGCTGGATAAATTAAAATGTTTATAACAATGGTTCTGAAAGGTGGGTACGCCCCACAAGGGGGGCATAGACAATATTTTGAAGAGGCTAGTTAGAAATATTTGTTAAATTTGACCTTGCCTTCTTTTTTTGGATGTTCACTTTTCTTTATTATTTACATTTTTTTACTATGCACACATATTTCAACGTTCTTTGAATAAAACATACTTTTGCCTTCTTATTTTTAATTGTGGTGAAGCTCATTGTTAGCTAGTTATTTCTGAGGTGTGCCGCGAGACTTGACAAATACTAAAATGGGAGGGGCGGCTTAAAAAGTTTCAGAACAACTGGTTCATAATAATGATGATACAGATTATTGAAATTTAAACAAGGATTAATCCTAGAAAACAGTTCACATATGCCAAAATGTTCGTTGCAAACTATCAAGAGTCTGAATTTAGGTGAATATATAATAGGTCGAATATCAAAAAAGCATCATCAAAAACCCACTACTTTCCAATTAATACATATTTAGCATTTTATATTTTATGTAACAGTTGCCCTGAACTAGAATCTTATATAAAGAACCATTTATCTGTGAGCATTTAGGAATAAGGGTTGAATTTAGAGGTTATGTACATCAATTTAATCAACACTGGGTGGAGGGCAGACTCAAGACCTTGCTATGAATCATAGATACACCCATTGTCCAAATGATTAGACTCTGACAAACTAAGGAAACAAAAAGCAACTAAAATGTCTCTGAAACTTTATCTATAATATCAACATATTTACCTGTGAAATCAAAAAGTGCGATGCAAGTTCCGACGGCTTCATCATCAAATTCATCAGCAAAACTATCTTCGTGTCTTAGCTGAGCACTGAAAAGAAATGTCAACAACAATTAGGAAAATTGTAGATAAGACAGCACTGCATTTTTAAAAATTTTTAATTCCTCTCTCAGTATGCATAAAAAGTACCTTATTTATTCAAATTTCATTGGGATCCTTAGCAATGTTGTGCACTGCACTCCCACTTTTTTACAGTTTGAGTAGTTTATTATGTGTGCATAAACATGGGCGCTGCCATAGTATTTGTACCAAGATGGCGCACAACCTGCTCACCCTAACCTGGTACATATACTATGTTCAGGTTGTGCGCCATCTTGGTATGAATACTACAGGAGCACCTAAACATGTATTGTAGTGATAACAAAGAACTAAAGAATATTGGTAATACTACAGCAAATACAAGCAACATTCCCCCAAGAGCGACATAGTCCCTCCCCGGTTTGAAAACATTGATATAGACCAGAGTGGTCCAAACCCAGGCCCACGGGCCAAATGTGGCCCGTGTCACATTTGGAGAGTAATCAAAAAATCACATTTCGTGTTGTTTCGTCCTAAAATTAATCAGAAAAATCTTTTGACATATTGTTACATCACTAATGTCACTGAATTGACTAGTGTTATGGCTAGCTGAGGCAACTAGCAAAGTTGAATGATGTGTTTGGCAGTCTAAATTGTTATCTGGCTTTCTATTTTTAGGTCGGGAATATATGTTAACAAAATACGAATCATAGAAAATTAAAAATCGAATGCGGAATCTATTAGCCTAGGTTGGCAATGCCTGATAACTATGTATTTGCACAATAAAAGTGTTTGTTTTGTATTGCACTGTTTACCTATTCTTGGCACTATTGTGGCCCGCGAACAATGCAAAAATATTTTTGTGGCCCGCGGAGTCGACAACCTTGGACCACCCTGATATAGACCAATGGTTCCCAAAGTTGATTGACCGGGCCGAAATCAGAAGCAGAAGGATATTCCCGGACCAGGAGGGGAGAACGCCAAAAGGGGCCGATACCGGTACAAATAATTAAGATACCGGTATAATTGAATTGTTACGAATATACACATGCTTAAACTGTGATAATGATGTAACAATCCATCTGAAGAAACAAAGTTTTAACTATTGCATCAAGTTCGGCAGGTCATATTGAATCGTAACAAGAGAACCACTGATATAGACACTGGCAGTGGTGACACATAATATAATATCACTCTTACTTTCTTGTCTCCGGTTCGGACTTCAATGGCTGAGAATACTGTGGTTTTGTGGATGACTGTGTGACCGCAGCTGGCGCAGGTCTGGGAGGAGCACCACCTGATGCTTCTGCATACCAAGCCTGGAGTATGAAATTTTATTTTTAAAGACGCAAATAATTGATGTTTTCCTGAGCATAGACTTCCTTGTTTACTTCGGAACATTGGCCAATCAGCAAGATGTTAAAATTGACATAACAATAGAAATTTAGCAGCCGCACTGACAATTTTTCACTCAGATAATTTTTTTACAAGTATGGTTTGAACTTAGCTTTTTTTTGTTTCCAAAATTCGAGAATAAATGGAATAATTCAACGGATGTTTTGAACTGAAAAAGTTTAAGCTTAATTGCAGTAATCTTTTCTGATTCAATATTTCCAAACGTAGAATGTTTGTAAATATATCCCCGTTCTCTTCAATAATTTAGAAGATTTTCAATATTTCGTATCCAAAAAATATTTTCAGAATGTATTTGAAATAGCAAATTATTCTATTTTTGGCCTGCATAATACCTCAAACATTGTGAGAATAAGTTTGCTAAAAATTGAAAGTAACACATTTACAATATGAGACTCACTTCATATTGTTTTAAATCTGTTTCAATTCTTGCGACTGCATCATCGCATTGTTTGAGTTGTGGATCGAGCGATCCTGCGTCTCCTAATGCTGGGTTTGATCGATAAACTTCTTGCATTTTCAATAATGCGTTCCTGGTGGAAAAATGAAGATATGTGTTGTATGAGAATTTTTATAAATTGGCCAATAGAGGGGGTGGGCTTTTATGCGGTATTTGGAGATTTATTGGGTATATTATTTTGTATACATCAGGAATGGGCAAATTACAGCCCACAGGCTGGATCTGGCCCAGCGAAGCCTTTCATCCAGCCTATTTGTGTCTGGTGAAATTATAGTTTTCATGGGCATAAATATTGGTTGAAAATATTGATGAAAATAATGTCATAAAGACCACGATTGTTACATAGTGCTTTCCATTATTATATAAACATCAGCATACCTGTTGGATTTTTCATATCGAGTTTTGACGCCCGGGCCATTAACCATGTCTATTATGTGTCACTGGCCCACTCACCCCTGGTCTACATAGTACTGCATAGTCGGTTCTAAGAATAAAGACAACAAATTCCAATCTATCAGATCAACTAACCGCCCATCGCTTTCCTTTGCAAGCTGTTGCTTCAATTCATCAATATGTTTCTGAAGTTTTTTCTTCCGCTGTTCTGGTGGAAGATGAGAATAATCTGCTGATTCAACGACCTGATAAGATTAATAAGATAAGATTGATAAGAACAGACATGAAACAGTGAATGATTATTATTAATATTTAGTAACTAAGCTTATATGCTTCCAATAGGCTCATTATCTTAAAAGAGAATTATATTTGTTATAATCCAATTCTTATTTATATTGCGTTGACGAATCACACATAATCAGGTGAAGTTTCGGTAGTACTCGAAAAGACTTGGGCTCTAAAAAGTGGGCACTTACTGATCAGGCAGATAATAATGTTTGTAATACTAAGAATCTTATTCTGCTGGAAATGTCATTTAAGTTGAATTTAAGGCAAGAAGTGGTACAACAAGTATTTTAAAATTGAAACACTGGTAATAGGCAATCTCAACTGCATTAAGAAATGTTATATTTACAAACAAGATACAAATGTATTGTTTACAATTACTATTTGCAAATTTATTTTATTGGGTGAGTGGGAAGGACCTGACACCTCATCTTTTACTCGGAGAATATTTTCAGTGGTGATTTTATTATTATTAGAAGTAGCATACCATTTGAAATACAAGTTATATTATAAAAGATAATTATACTACAAAATAACAGCAAGAAAAATTTAGTTCCCAAAATACTGTCCAATGCACAATAAACATAATAAGCTATCTCAAACTCAATTGAACACATACGACATGAAACGTAAACAAAAAATGAAAGAACTTCACAGGACAATACATAACTCAAAATGAAATATCTTCTGCCAGAAAAATACTGCAAAACTTAATATACAGTATTTCATGATGGACACTTCACAAAGCAATAGTAACACCAAAGAGCTGATATTTCTAAACCCAACTTTTTGCAATTCAGTATGACCTATCCAATTTTTTATACTCAGTGGAGTAGTGGGAACGAGGCTTCAATCCACAAACAACATTGTCAAAGGTTCATTGATCTGACTAGTGCCTATTGTACTACTTGGTTTGATAGTATGCTCCCTGTTATGGTAGCTATAAAAGTTCATATTTGAGGTGTGGGTATAAAGATATGGAATTAATGGAAAACTGGCACTAAGAGGGTACCATTCTATCACAGCCTATATTTTATGCACAATATGCATTTGGATATCCCAAACTGCCTTTCCCCTGTGACACCAGGACGCCATTATAGTCAGATAGTCTCTCAACTAATGGGCACATTTGATATAATAGCATGTTATCAGTCGTGACATAGATATTGGAATTGTTCAACGAAAAGACTGTGTGGTGGGTGAAGTCTGCCAATAACATGAACTTGTTGGCCATTCGAATAATGCCATGTACAATGTAGAGACACATATCCAGTGCGTAATTTCGCTACTCGGATCCTGGGAAAATATAAAACTGGTGAACCATGCAGAAACAAATAAATTCATGCTGAATGAAACTGAAAACAAGCTGAACTGAACCTAAAGGCTGAATTAAATACACAAAATATGCATGAAATGAATATATTTCAAAATAATAGGGACAGATAACAAGAGACATTCATGAAAACAAGACTGGATGTCCCCCGAAGGAGATACAGTGGAGGCATATGTGTGATCTTATATAAGGTATTATTATATTCACTCGTGATGAAATTCCCAGCACTTCAATCTATCTGAATAAGGCTCCATATGAGCCACCATTTGAGCATATAGGGATGGCTGTTATTTTTCCAGTGCAAATAACCAATATTAATTAATTTCACCTTGAGCAAAGTGGCTCAGATAGACTGATTTCCAGACTAACTGTACGTAACTGCACCAATGATCGCACAAAATTTAGCTTCAAACAAAGCGCTTGAATTTTATTTAACTCCTTGTATAATAGAATTAGGCGTATCCAGGTACCACATTTGGCCCAAAAGCTGAAAAGTTTGTTGGGAGCAGTAACTGGAACCAAATGCTGTAAAGAGGAGTGTACAATATTTGTGTGCAACATTTTTGTCTGAGGGCCATATAACCAAATTCAGAAATCTAGCAGGGCCACACAAAATATTTAATGGTAATGGCATGTGAGAATGTGGCTATCACTTAGCCTTACAGTAATGAGAGCACCGGGTATAACGACGAAAGATTTAATACAGCAACTAGAGAAAAAAACATTTGAGTATTTTTATCCATGAGACATTAACTGTAGGATTAGGATTTTATTTTTGATGAGGAGAAATCTGAGTGTTGACTAGGGCCACGTAATGGCTTGACGGGCCGGGTTGTAGCCCAATATGTTGCCAAATCAGTAACGAGAATATCGGTCGGAGACCGAAGACTTATCGATCAAAACTGCGGTTTCGATTCATGACCCTATAGTGACACCACGTGTCCCATCACTAATTAATTAATACCACGCTAATTATACGGCATAATTCATCCAAAATCTATAGGCTTCTGGTCCAAGATAGGATGAATGTACATGCAAAATTTGGAGCAGATTCAACCACGCCTTCATGAGATATCGCGTGCATCTAACAGACAGACAGATACCTATCAACATACTTACCGATCTAAAGATCGATAAGTAATAAACTAATAACTTTAGTCCTAACATTTTCAGGTGCTGCCCCAAGATTACATTTCCCTTATGGCTTTCCCATCCCCAGTGAAATATTTATTGGCGTCATCAAATTTTCACAAATTCCTTATCTCTACTTAAAACATAATTATATTTTTATACTAAAGAATGAAAGATACAATAATGCGACTTAATCTTATGGCAAATCATGGATTCCCATCAGGCTATCAATCCATTTCAAGTAAAGGGAACAGTTAGGTATTCAGTTAATTATGGGTGTATTCAGTATTTAATAGGTATTTTGTTCAGTTAATGGTGGGAGGAGCTGTGCACCCCTTATGTAATTTGCACATACGCACAGACCAACTTGTGGCGATGTGGTGAATACAGTGATATAATTGGATGCTTGTTCAGGGCCTTGTTCTGAGCAAAAGTCCTGAATATACAATAATAAAGTAATCATACTTAGTATGATGTGTCAACCGCCGCAAACTTGACTAAGAGACATAAACACTGTATCACAGTACTTGAGCGCAGCATGATATATTAAACGACACCAACTTAGCTATGGGGACGTCAAGCAGCAAAACTTTTAATGCAGACAAATCCAAATAAAATAAAAAAACAACAACAAAACAGATTAAATCCATGCAAAAAATAAACATTACCAGAGCTTCGTGCAAAAACTGCCTTCACAAGCCTTGTGGAATTGATCTCAGATTATAATGAGCGAAAGCAAATTCGGTCCAGATATCGAGCATTGAAAATGAATAATTTTGCAATTACTGACATCTGGTGAATGATAAAATATAGGCGATTCCCAAACACAAATGTTGATTATGAATAAGTGAATGAAATGAGCATGGAAAGTTAGCGTACACTGATTCAGTTAATCTTCCGTTCAGGATTCGTAAATATAATAAAATGATTCGAATTTTAATGAAACACCAAAGAGCCAATCACTCATAAATCTCAAAATGGGACAGTTTCATACCCCAAGAGCTCAATAAATTTGGTACTGCAAATAGGTCTTGATTACAGGAAAAATCACAAGTATGTACAAATCTTTAATTGAGGAGAGTTTTCAAAAAAATGTTCAATTGATTGGGAAACTAAATTAACATAGAAAATCGACAAGTCCCACTATGTTAATTCAGTGATGAGGTTACTGTGTTAGCGAAGTAATTTTTAATTTCATCTAGTTTTCATTGAAATATTGGGTAAATATTGCTTCAAACTATGAACATTCAATAGCTTGAAGAGCCCTCCCTTGATATATTGTAAAATAAAAAATTTTCCCTTTGCCGTTTTGTCTCGGAACCTGTTAACTTAATTTGGGTGACCCTGTACATGTTAGAAGTAGGATTCCCAGCAATAGCATAAGCTTGCATAAGATATTTTCCAATCCCACTTCATATATTTTAGCTTCTAAGACATGCAATGTAGCACCAGCAAACATGGACATAGAATCCTACTGAGCAGTATGCGATGAAAGATACTCGTGTATTTTAGCAAAAAATTAAGCCAAATGAATCGAGAATGCTTTTATATATCAAAGGAATTACTTTTTCGCCCGTTTAACATCAATATACATAGGGAAGTCGATTACAATTGATTTAAAAAAAAAATTCCGGAGATTCGATGTACTTAGATAGAAAAATTCAGAGCAGCATAATTTTGCGTAAGCAAAGCTGAGCAAATCAAAATTTCAATCAATATTTTATCAATAAAACTAATTTTTGATTGATTGGCATCAAGTTTTGCAAGATAAATTTGATTGATTGGAAATTGCAATCAAGGAAGTCGCTATTGTCGGATATAGGCCATGCCTAATCATGCATGCAACAAATCACCCAAGCGTTACAAAACATTCCAGTTATGAGTTATTTTCACGGGAAGTTAGTCACCATAATAATTAGTATACCCTGACCAGAATAACCATATTAAATCTTGAACCAGCAATTGAAAAGCAATTTAAAAATCTTAAGAGAGGCCTTAGTTCGCTATATGATTCAGTTTCCCTTCTTCCAGGAATCATTGTAAAAATTGTCATCTCATGAAATATTTTGAAGATAATGTGGAATAATAGGAAATCATCATACATGAACCTAAAACATAGTTTTTTAAAGGGCCTTGTAATCTATGACCAAATAGCAAAGACTTGCTTAAAATATAAGTAAAATGACAACTTGAATACTCAATTATTTTTTGTATATGAAAATTCCACCCAACAGGAGCAACAGGACTAATCTATGAATGAAATCAGGGACAACCATTGAAGTGCAATAAAAAATCAGAACTTCAATGTATTACTTGCTATATAACTTAATATTACCTATTTGATCATACAGGGTACCCATGAGGTCCTATTACTATATCAATTTTGTTATGAAGTCAGTTCTCAATATATCTTTACCAGGTTTGTTGTTATTTAATCAGTAAGTAATTGTTTAAATATTTTTACTTCATTTAATACATCCGTGAGGGCTAAAACAATATGTGGTATTTCCCTTTGTAATTTCAAAAAATTTCAAAACTTTATGGATGACACTATACTTCCGTTTAGGTACATAAAATAAGGAAGAAACATTGTTGGAATAAGCACACAAAAAAAAAACATTCAAACATATACAAAGAATGAAATAAAACAACATTTGTGTTTGGGTATATAATCTGAGCACACAATTCCAGAAGGCTTGTGAAAGTGGGTGTCGCCTTGCCTTCGTAATGGGCGTGTCTGTTTCTGTCGGGTCATCGATAGAATCATCTGTGAATTCATCCTCGCTTCCAGGAACTTCGGAGTATGTGTGGTCAACGACCGGATGTGAATTTTCTTTTTGTTCTGCTTGCATGCTTTTTATTGGCACCAAGTAATCAGCTGATGGAAGCATCGCAGCATCCGTTGCAACAGGACCGGAAATTTGGACAGATTTTCTCGGACGAGGGGGTTTAGTGGGAGGACTAGTTTTGGGTTTTTGAGTTTTTTCTTTAAAAACTGAAAAGATTTTTTTTCGCCCTGCGGTTAACGATTGCCTGAGGAATTGTTGGTCATTTATCGTAGATTTTTTGTCCCTCATTTGAACGTCTGCATTATCACCACCTTCCATCGAACTACCACTTGGTGCTGCCCTGGAGCTATCCGAACTGCACGATACATTTCGTGCTTTGTTGACATTTTCGGTTGATCCAGAATGCTGTTTGTCATCGATTGAATCAGATTTTTCTGAGCCGTCTTCATCAGAGTTAACTGATTTGACTTTCTGCTGTGAGATATATTGACCGTACAACAACGAATTAAACCAGGGCTGCGGGCCGAAGTCGTATTTACATTAACATACATTACATTTAACTTCACAGATGGTTGGAATTGCAGACTTTCAATTGTGATAAAATGAGTTTATCTATTAAAACTTCCTTATCAGTCAATAAATGGAATTTTGCATTTGATTTTCTGGGAGTTTGGGGCTGGAGACACTTCACTCCCCTGGGATAAACACACCTAAATCCAAAATTTTTAACAAAAAAATCTAAAGCTATTTTATTTAGGTGATTCAAAAGTCCTGCACGAAAACAGACTCTAAGTCACTTAGAATAGTCATCGTTACTCTTGCTATGGCATTCTTGCACTACACGAATCTATCAGCACAATAGCACAGAGGCGTAGGGGCATTTTGGGGGTCAAAACCCCCCCTTTTGAAATGTAAATATAATAAAAGTATGTTTCTGTTTCATGCAGAGCAATTATTCCAAGCTTGAAACACTTTTTAGACCCTCAAGACTCATGAAAACACACGCTTTCCGGCGCTCGGCCGGACCCGCTAGCTTGTTCCGATCTAACTTAGCAAATTAAAATTTCAGAACCGCCTCCACTATTCTGAAATCTATGCTTTTCTCAAATTTCAAACGTCACTATTGTTTAACAGCTATAAAGGTCTGTAATCATGTTACATTAATAACTGGAGATAAGTTGGAAACATTCCTTGCAAGCATTGCAAGCTTTATGTACACCAGAATTTACTGAAGAACGATTCCATACCAACAATTAGCTTGTAACATAAAGGAATAAATAAATAACTTCGATTATTTAATAAATAATATACTTTTAAGAAGACTAAGTATGAATGCCATTCGACAATCTGACAATATTAAAAAATTGTGCTGAATAAACCTTTTCCCTTTAACAATATAAATGGACAAACTGCCCTGATGAATGTATTGTGCTGCATCTACCTCCAAGCACGAAACCTGTCTGACATTATGACAAGATAAATTGAATTTTTTACCTTTTTGCCACCAAAGAGCCAGCTCAGTCCTTTCTTATTAGCTCCTCGCGAAATATTCACAGAATTACGAGGTGAATTAGCGTGATCTTCATTCGTGTTTGCATGTGAAGGTGAAGTGTAATCTTCAAACTCTTTATCATTCGGAGGATAAAAACCTGACTTGTATTTTTCAACAACTATTTTTGCGTCCTGAAATTGGAAAATTGGTAACCATAAAGAGATCTTGGATCAAAGCAGTTTCTCTAACTGAACCCTTGAACCCCTAAGATCCATGGGGCAGTTCTCTTGAGGCCACAGGCAAAGGGATTCACTAGGTACCATTTGAAAATAATTTAGTGAATGGACCATCTTTGAGAGTACGGTTTTTCAGGCTGAGCTGATATAGGAGTTTATTCTGACAATTTATTAAATTTCAAATAGAACTCATGTGCTATATTATTATAACATAAAAAGGATTTTCTGTTGGTAACTGGCCCTAACTAAGATTTTGGGTTCACAAGCATGGCATTTGGATAGGGGTTTGGTTTATTTATAGAGGCATAACTCTGATCGGACTAAAAAATCCGGCTTATACACGCATAACTCTGATCGCTCTCATTCTCTTCTGCAACCGTTCTCTGTGATAGGCGCAAACGCCGTATTACGATTTGTAGAATCGACTGATAAGCTCCGTTTTCAGGTTTTCGGCTTATATGCGAGGACATTGATAAGTTCAACTTACTAGAGTAGAGTCAACAGCTTTCGCAGCAAGTTTCATTCCATCGAGACATTTATTAATGATAGGTTTAACGTTTGAATCGATCGTGGCAAATTCTTCCATCACTTCAGATACTTTCTTTACCCGCCGTTCATCCATGTCTCGAAAATTCTGAAAATAAGAAGAAAATGGGGTTTAGGTAGATACAATGACGTTGGACATTCAAGATGATATATCAAATTTGGTCAAGTTGAACAAAGAACACATAGAACTAATAGAAGTCAAATTTGGATGACATACTTAGCAACTGCCCCAGTGATTAGCATATATTACTAGGCTTGCACGTAATTGACAAAAATCAATTCCGTAATTACGACAAAATCAATTACGTAATGACCCCGTAATTGCGATATTTTTCCACGCATTTAAACCTATCATAACAACCAATTGAATCCACTTCTTTTCCGAATGAGACATTGAAGTTGGGTTTTCATATTCTTGGCAGTACTACACGCCGTCGGCAGATGTTAAAGACAAATATCATGGAGTGAATTCAAATTAATTTTATTCTGATTTTTATCTTTTGTGTTAGCTTTGGTTTTCCTTTATCACCTTCGCAAATTAACCGTCCCATTTTTATGCGATCAATTTTATTTTATCTTTACCGACACTGGTATACGGATATTTATGGAAACGATAGTTTTTTAAAACCACCTTAGTACTGAATAAAAATTACGGGTTTCTAATTTATTAACCAACGACGAGCGTATTCTCTCGTTTGATTATACTTGCGATTTCCTCGCGACGAAGACTTGTTTTTGCAGCGTCTTCTGCATTATCCGACATTACTGCCTTGTTAGCATTTTATAATAATAATTATTGATGTCGACTTATTGACGATATTCCGATTACCATGCTTCATTTTACATTTAATCATTTCGCGGACTGAATGTTTATAACATTATTTGCGATAAATTCAGATCAAATATTATTTATTTAAGTATAATTTAAATATCGAACTTATATGATATGCCTTCTCCGAAAATACAAAGTTATATCGCAAAACAATGCATTTTGTGACATTTATTTTACACTCACGACATTTATTTGCTAACTCAAGTCGGCGATCCTATCGGCCAAGATTGACACAAGTTTGGTCGAGTGCCGGTGGTATTCAAGTCGACGATAAATCAAAATAAGTTTGTTATTTGGTAAGACAGTTAATCATATATGGCCGAAATATTGAGAGGAATTGTGAAAAACATCATGAGCAAGGCCAAGTCCGGACTGATATATAACAATAAAACCGTTAACAGAACAGCAAGATTTTGTAATAGAAAATGGATCTCGCACAGAATAAACACACTGGCTCATATTTGATTATATATTATAGCAGTTAAATTTTTAGCGGTCCGCGAGGAATCTGTCGTTTTGCTGTTTCTCTGCCGTCTCAATCGCTTTACCGATGCCGAGAAGACGAAGTTGCGTTGGTTCATTACGCAATCTCTCTTTTGTCGTCATATTGCTATTTGATTAGCGCGACATTAATTATCACGGCGAGGTATTGGCGCGAGTGATCAATCGCTCTTTTCGCTTATTTGGTTCCAATTCGTCGCGAAAGCTCTTCGTTAAATTTCACAAGATCGTCGTGTTGAAAGGTTATGGATATTTTCCTGTTTATACCCCAAGTCTGAAATAAAACAGCCAAAAACAGTATGATATTCCATGTTCATATATCACGTGTTGATAATAACAATAAAGAATGGTTAAGCATTGCTACTCCACACTTGGTGGGGAATTCCCACTATTTAAACGTGTGACTATAAAATAGAATAAAATAGAAACGGAACATATATACCATAAGTAACAGAAAACTGGAACAAGTAAAAAATGAATAAAAGTAAAATGGATACAAATGTTTGATAGACCATGTTTGAAAGATTGATCTCCTGCGTTCATTTGTCATTTCACCCGAAGAAGTTGAAACCGGGCGTGTTAGCGTCCATCGGTCTTAACACAATTCTTCCCCCTATCTACGGTTATTATGTACATGGGCCATGACCATGCTAGATAAGATGCGAGAGAAGTTGAAACCAGGTGTGTTGGCGTCAATCGGTCTCAACGCAATTCTATCCCTTATCTACGGTTAAGTTACGGGAGAAGTTAAAACCAGGTTTGTTGGCGTCAAACGGCCCTACTCAGTTCTTCCCCCTAACTACGTTAATAATTTACATTGGCCATGCCGTTGATAATAGGTCAGTAAATGGCAAAGCGTCATGCCTTCCTTCACCTACGTAACAAGAGAGAGAAAAGAGAGAAAAACGGCTGCGAATACCGGAACTCTAACTTCTTCTACTTGTTGAGCTTTCATTTTTCGCAATCGACTGCTTCGAAGAAAGCTCGTTTCAATGCAATAATTACGACTTTACGTAATTCGTAAGTTCCCTTCCGTAACTCCAAATAATTACGTAATTCCGTAAATCAGTAAATTACGTGCAAGCCTATATATTACTATATAATCTATGTTTGGACTGAATGTCAGATGGTAATTCCACGTTTCCCAACAAGGGAGCTCCCAAGGGAGAAATTTTGATTCCTATTTTCTGTAGTATTTTAATATTCCTTTTTCATTATTACTGATACCCTCATTAGAAAATCACTTAATAAAACTGTTTAAACGTGGGCAGCGACTTTAAACAGGTAAGGATACATTGAAGATTTTAAAATAAAATACTTAGGGTGGCGGAATATGGAGTTCCAAAAGAGGCAAGAAAGGAATTTATCGAAAAAGGTTGAGAACACCAGACATGTAAGCTAATTGACCTATAGGAATAACTCTGAATGTATTTTAATACCTAATAAGTTTTCAGCAACTTAGTCAACTGTTTGAACAGCTGGCTGTATTTAAGCAAACCCCTCAGTCAGCAATATATCTGTAATCATTTATTTGTTTCCTATCATACTGAATCACACTTGATACAAACAAAATAAAAAATATCAACAAAAACGGAAAAAAATGGCATTTCGAGGCTAAGGTGGAAATTGAAGTTAAAATCAAAATCAAAAATACAACTGGTCATTGGGTAACACGCAACAACTGTGACATCAGGAATAAAAGTAGCATATCAGAGCAAAGGGCGGGAGAAACCGATACAGGTTATCGAGCGGCAACACTGACTAATTAATCATGATGACAATTATTTACACAAAAGTAGAAAAAAAGTTAACAAGAAATATTAAAAATGTTTAAAGCAATCGAGGAATATCTTAATAAGATAGATCACATGTTATAGTTGCACAAAAAATGACTCCACCTGACACCGGCAAGTACGTCAATACACTATGATTCATCAAAGACATAAGATTCTAATTTGCTTTTTCAAAGAAGGAAGGAAATTTAACTGTATGGAAATTCTCATGACTAAACTCATTTGATCTAGTAAAGGAAGTTGACATAGTGATAATAGATCTTGGTAATTTCCTTGTTAAATGGGTTAATCAGCATTAGAAAATATATGTAATGATACGCACAACAATTTTGGTATTGATCTTATGACATGGGTTGTTCGCTCGCGCAAGCTCGCGATTAGAGAATTGTAACGTCATAGGCATAGATAATAAATTGCACAGAAGTTAAAGATATTGCAACTCAAAAGAATTACTCACATGTACTAGATTAAACTAAATTAAAAACTCAAAACCATTCAAATTTGGCACTTCACTAGGTGTCGCGTAATGTATGGTTGTGGGTCGAGGCCCCAGGTTGCACAGCCCTAGTGTAATGTATGGTCATGCATGTTGGACGAAGAGTTGGAGTATTACTACAAGCGAATTTGGATACTGGTAATTTTTAGTTTATTTTTATTTCAAACAACACTCATTTATGCATTTCGCTTCTAACAAGGCCCTGCATAGGCATCCACTGATATCTGGCGATTTGTGAGAACCCCCTATTATTCGGAAAGTCCGGTACCATTCCGGTTCGGCATTGCCCACCCAATTTGTCATATCTTCGGAGAGATAAGGTTTGAACAAGATGTTTCAAACAAGTTTAACACTTTATTCAAATCACTTTGACATGCACGGTAGCAACACATATTGTTGGGAAGTCTGACAAGCAAATTCTTTCAGATCACCAAATCGAGTGTCTTTGTATAAATCCAATGTTCACAAATGAAGCATAATACATTTACCCTTATGTAAGTCTAACTGATAGAAAGAATCCTAACGGCGGGTACCGGAACGTAGTATGTGTACCAGGTTAGGGTTAAGCCAAATTTTATTCCAATTTTCCTTATTTTAGTTCTATTACGAGTTCAGGGACTAGCCGAAGTATTTGTACCTGAAATTATGGTCTAACCCTAACCTGGTACAAATACTACGTTCCGGTTTCCGCCATCTTGGTTCACATACTACATTACTATGGTACTACCACTAATACAACCAAATACTTCAATCACCTAAATAGAAAATACCACAAACATGTTTGAGACAGATCGGAGGAATGGCATAGAAACAGGATGGGAGAAATAACTGAATGCATATAAAACTTACTTCAAAAACTTTAGGCATATTTGTCTGGTAATGGTTCCTCTGTTCTTCATTGAAATGTGTTAATGCTGATGCATAATCTCCTTTGCAAGATTCTACTTGATCCTTCTTTACTACTAAGGATTGTTTCGCCTGAGAATAAGATATTTCAGATTTATTTATGGTCCCTTCTGGTGCTTTCAAAGCTATCGCTGATCCCTCAAAAGTTTATTATTTGAAATTTAGTTTATAGCTTAAACAGCAACCTAATGTTCCATACATATTTAACCAAGCCAAAAATAACACCAAACTAGTGGACATTTTCATTTATTTTGTCAAATCGAATACACTTAATGGGATTTCTGCTGTTGCATATCAGAAGTAAGTCTTGGAATACGTGGTCGTGTTTTTGATAACGATAGACGCATATCGTCTTCGACGTTTAGTTGGTTACGTGCCTTGCATTTGATATGAACGAGAGCAGAAAATACACTCTCACAAAGGTAAGTGGGGGCAAATAATAGCACGTAATGCTTCCATCGATACTTTTGGGTACGACGGCAAAATGCTCACCCAAAACTGAGAAAGTGATCACTGTTGCTGCGTTCATATATTTATCATTGTGATGTCATAACTCGTATTTGTCACAATAGGTCTCCGGGAGATAAATCAAAATAGTTTTTGTAGGCTATTGTCACATTGTCATAGGCAGCAAATGTTCAAGCGTATTACAAAAAAAAACGATATTAAACTGCAAATAATTTCCTAAAATCCTAATTTAATTGCGGACCCCCATGGTTGAGAACCACTGAGCTAGTATTATAAGAAGCTAATGTTGCAAAGCTAGGGCGGGAGTATTACCCTTTCAAATTAATGAGAATCGTTTCGCAACAAGCCATCATGGAAGTACCCAATGATGTGGAAAAATCTAACATGAAGTATCTTTCTCATGTATTGAATTTGTCACTGTTAAGCCAATTTTATTGAAATATATAAAATAACAATTGCTCAAAATACTTCTTTGAATGTACAGACCTCACACTGTGACATAAATTCTATTTTAGGGTTTCATGGAATTCTGCAATAAAATAGCAAAACAATGGATAATAAAACTGCTCTATTCATATATTCATGCTCATAAACATGTAAATAGGAGTAATGACCAGATGGGATGTAAAATTTCAGACGGTAAAGCTCTATGCGAAATCATAATTTTTTTTATGTGACGCTTACTGCGCTGCGTTTTGCTCTGAGCAAGACCTTTTATTAAGCAACCACTGGTTTCTCATGATATGTAAGTAACTACTGTTATTTGGGACAATAGGAATCTTCCCAGTTCTGCATTGCCTACACCCGTGGTTCACAGAGTGCGCTGTTTCAATTTTGCTAGGGCGTCGCAAACTCTTCTTATTTTGTGAAATTGTACTTGTGGTACGTAGAAAAGTCAAAATTCTCGTTATTCTCGTTTGAATCCCACTTGAGAACAGGAGATGACAATATGTCATTTATTGTAACAATTAACGTTATGTGTATGTGACCTCACTAACGTCACGGGCCATTTAAAGCTGTTCCAATTAAGACATCACACACACTGGGTTGAGTCAGCTGAACCATGCATGTCATTCATTTCTAATCCTTTCATGAACATGGGCATATCGAGCCTTGTTGAGTGACGCTCAGCACTTCGTCTACGCGTTGATTCGAAGAATTCAGTATTGACACCACAGCAGTTCTCTTCAAGCATAATTTAAATGAAACTCATTACAAAAAAGGTCTTTCATTAAAGCCGTTTTCACGAGGAGTCGCAACTTGATCAAATTTTTCGCAGGGCGTCGCAATACCAAAAGGTTTGAAAACCACTGGCCTACACAATTTATTACATAGTGGGTGAGGTGGTGGGCATGGGAGATTTGAAACAGAGTTGTGAAATGTAGCCTGCGACTCTTTTGATTAGTGTAATGGTTCCCCCAGACGCATGAATTACTGAGAACGTAGAATCCATCACTCAGTTAGTTCGCAAACGTGTCTTATTAACAATATACGGTGCACGCTCGCACAAAAGATAGACAATCAAAGTGCCGATTCTATTTCATCATCTTTATAATATGTGGCAAAGCGCAAGAAAACCGTTTGAAGATTGCCCTCGAAAACGAAACACTGAGCTGACGGTAAAAGTGGCTATTATTCTGAATTATTTTAAAATCAGTCGAAAAGTATCCGGATACTTTGACATTCAAATATATTCGATTCGTTTTGGACAATCCTGACTGGGACATCCTTCTACAATATCTTACCTTATCAACTTCAGCTTTCGTGACATTCGGATCCTGGTCTAACTTTTCAAAATAAGCTTGCGCTCTTTCACTCTCCCTCCATTCTTTTTCAAATTTTCGTTTTGTTTGTTCCAGTGATCGCTCATGCGCATCGAGTGTAGCTTGCATCGATCGACCTTCTTGATACGCCTGAAAGAGAATAGAATATAGAACTTACTTATTGATAAAAAAAAACAGAAAGAAAGCGTTCTTGGATAACAAAACAGATGTGGGCAAGGCATCATCAGAAATACATAATATTTACAAGCACAATAATGTAGTATGTGAATGATGATGTAGTATAAGAATGTTAAAAGTAAGCTAAAAGGAAAAGATTTCTTCCAATAGTTTTTACTTTTAGGGAGAATGGTACCTTGTTAAGAGTGGAATCTATGTTATTATCGTAACTTGATATAAAGATTTTCAAATTGGATGAAAAAAACAAACAATTTTTTTTGTGTTATACTACATTATTATCAATGTTCCAGGTCAGGGATGGGCAAGTTTTTTCGACCAGGGGCTAAAAATTTTGCCCACCTGGACTGGCGGGCCATGTAGGAGTGGCGAATAAAGTTATATTTTATGAACAATATTTACAGTGTTACAAAAGTGGAAAACAATAATCATCGTGCCAAAGACCTAGAAGCAACAAGATTATTCATATGATATTCATACTAAGTTTTGACGAGCACAAAAAAATGTGGAACGCCACGTTTGAAAGTATATCAACTGAAAAGTATGTTAACTGAATTTTTTTTTATAGGGATTGGAATTATTTAGGTTCATTCTCCCCAAATCTATAACATCAGCACTTCCTTTAAACTTTTTGTTCATAGGCGCCGAATTATCAAAAAAATGCCGCCTTCAAATAAAAATAAATTTTGTGATCTTAACAGAAAGTAAACGAGATAAAAAGGTAAAATGAAATTAGTGATTCATATACACATTTATAAAAACAAGAAACAATAAAACATTTATATGAAATACAATATGAAATATATTCAATCATAATATATATGATCATGGATCATCATATATATTAGTTTTTTATGTTCAACACAATTTTTTTAATTTTCGAGGCACACTTCTTTGGCAACTGCTGTATTACAGGTTCAGAGGATATGATGATAAGCAAACTACCAAACATTTTTTTCACATTGCCCGCCGATATGGGTAAGAACAACATAACAATACGTATATTCCTTATCTGATCTCAAAATCCCGGAAGCAAATCAAGCAGTAAATTTAGGAGAGCAGACTTGAAAATTTAATTACTATTGATCTGAATGACTCAATAAACTGAAGCATGTACTAAGGGATATTGATTTTTTTCATCAATGCAGTTACATCTGCTGGATTGGAAAAATTGTAACTATGTAAAGATCCACTATCATGATGTGTACCTTTGTATTTTTTTCCATTATATTGCATTCAATTTATCTACAACATTGCTTCTAGTGTTAGTGGTTCTCAAACGATTGGATGCGCCCCACAGAGGGGGCGTTTGCATTCTTGGGGGGAGGGGGAGGAGAAGGTAATTAAAAATAAAAATATTTGTCAGATTTGACCTTGCTCACCTTGTTTTGAATATTTACATACTCTTTATTTTGAATATATATATTATTTTTTTAAAAACATACTTTCGCCTTACTATAGCTTATTTTTAGTTTATTATTAGTGCTTTATTTTTCAGGTGAGGCGCGAGACTTGACTAATTCTAAGAAACAGCATGACTTAAAAAGTTCGAGAACCACTGTTCTATTGCATCATTGGTATCCTATTAAACTAATATCAATGACTTTATACCTCTGGCCGCAGACTTTACATTGAGCAAACTTACATGCAAGACTTCTAAGCATTTCAAATATCGAACCGCAGGGAGGTTTCTAAACACAGAGCTTTATTTATATCATGAAACCACATTTCTAAAACAAGTAGTTTCTGAGAAGATTTTATGAAAAGCAATAAAAACTTGAAGGCCTAGTGGAAAAACTTATGGGCATGGGTGGATTACCTTAGCAATACTTTAAAATAGAGCAATATTTTAAATATAGCTGAATTTTGGGTACTCCTGTAGTATGTGTGCCAGGTTAGGGTTAGGGCATAATTTTATTTCAATTCCTCTTATTTTAGTTCTATTACAAGTTCCGTGGCTGTCTGTGTTAGCCAAGTGAATATACCTTCTACCAATAAGTTTCATTCCCTTTACACGACTTGATGTAAATTAGGCAAATAAAATTAGTTACCTCCATAATGGTACACATACTTCTGGAGCGCCAAATTTTGAACTCTTTAAATTTAAAAGCTTGGCAAGAGTTTTGTGCATCATAATGGTGGGTGCATTTTATATCGAGTCTTTTATTAAAACTTTTATCTCGATGGATATTACTGCCTAAGGCACAACTAATGATATTTGAGGACACGAGGCCTTAATTGAAGAAATGAGGTTTATCTCACTATCAATGGATTTATTCATTTCATTTCTTTTTATTTATACAGTATTTAAGCCATTCAGTGTGTAACTGATTTGGGATGATAATTGCTTAACATGAGTCATTCAGAGATGCTGATTAAAGAATCATACCTTTGATCCTAATACAGTAATTACAGAATCCTAGAATTGACTGAAATAGTTCAATCAGTCCAATTATGCAACAACACGATGGTCAGAAAATCTCACTGATTGTAATCTATTTAGGAACTGTGATTTTGTGATATCCCGGAATTCAGCTGCTTTTTACAAATAACAAACTTTCAATTCCTTTCAAACAAATTGTAAGGATTCTACATGTCCATAAATGGCCAACTTTTATTGATGAAACAGTAATAGGCCTATAGAAGTGATTTGTGGATTTGTGGAAAATTTTCCCCGCAATACATTTACAGCATCATTAAAACACAATGTCAAGTCATAAAAACTTCTCTGAATGACTTCACTTTTGATTTGAATAATTCTTCGAAGATGCTCATTTGACTTTATGTGTTGATTGTATAATAAAGAAACTTACAGAAGCACAAAAAGCTTCAACCAATACCACAGATGGTTGAAACACAATCTGCAATATCAGCTCAATTATATACTAGACTCCCTTGGGTGATGAATCAATATCTTTGTCATTGTAAACTGTCTGAAAGAGACTTTAATCTTAAACCACACTGAATAATACTATCCAAAGGGAAACCCAGATTGGTCATATTTGTTACATTAAGTTCATAATTTTACAAAAATTTAATATATTGATTTTAACTTATGGAGAGTGGAGATCTACATGTATACTAATAATCATATATTTTATATCACAAAACACCAGCCAATATTTTTTCTATGAGAATTTACTAAAAATTTGATTCCCACAGAGTAAAATACAATGTGTTATTTTCAAACTGTGTATGTACAATTACTATTGTCACATCATAATCTGATTCCAACAGGATTGTTTTCTTAAGAGATAGAATCATCCCTCTGTGACTCATAAAAGCACAATTATTACATCACAACAGAAGGAAAGCGAGAAGAAAACACTCCACATGTTTATACATAATTGATGCAAACAGTTAGCCAGACTCTACGATTGATCAAAATCAAATAAAATTCTCACTTTTTCAACAAATGCTTCAACACAACCACAAGATAAATAAAATCTGAATCGTATTTAGAAATAATATATTTAAAACATTTGAACAGTCCAACAATTTTACCACATAAGCCGGTTTTTAATGTGTATTAACATGGCTTAATTTTTATAGTATAGAAAAGGCCTGCTAAGCATGTTTTGATTGCTCAACTAATTTAAATAATTTTGCTTTTTTATATGATATCAATATATGTTTGACAATTTAAGCTCATAATCTTAAAATAAACATATCTCAACTTCTTTCTAAAAACAGGAATCAAATACAAAAAGTGCCGTGTACTGTAATCAGTATGATAAGATCCTAATAAATGTCCAGCTGAGCAAAGAGTTTGCTAAAAATATCAACCGACAAGCATTATAGAATGAAGCAGTAGTTCTCATAATTCTTAAAGCCGCGCTCCCATTTTAGAATTTGTCAATTCTCGCGCTCCATTCTAAAAATAACTAGCTAACAATAAGCTACAAATAACAGATAGTAATATGTGGATGGAACGTAAATGATGAAATAAATGTAAATATCCAAAGGTAGGCGGGCAAGATCAAATCTAACATACATTTTTATTTTTAATTAGCTTCACGGCCCTCAAAGAGCTGTCTGCATGCCCCACCATTTTAGAACTACTGGAACAAAGAGTTCCTATAAAATGTATACCTATGGATAGAACAGCAAAATTTTGGGCAAAAGATATGATCCCATAGAACTCAAGAAGAAAGTTGGAAAGAAAGTTCAAATATATTTTTAGTACTGGAAATTTGGAAATTAGCCCACTAGTTGCGAAAAGCAATTTTTTTCACAAAAACTATCATAATTTGGCAAAACTATCTTTATCAAGTCTGTGTGTCCAATGACTATTTTCAAACATTATTGAATATGGGTTGATTTTGGGAATAATGAAATGTTAGAAACAGAAGTTTAAAGAAAAAGATAAAGAAGGGTTCTTAGTAAAACTTTTGGAAAGAGACACTAATCAATTCAAGTCAGTTCTCCGATAAGGAATTAATTCCCAGGGGATCAAACAAATTATAAATTGGATTATAAGATTAAAGAATATTGACGGAGGGAATTAATGAATCAGTTAATAATGCATAGAATAGATATTTGAGAGTTTAATTTTGAAAACTTCATAAGAAATAGGCCTTTATAACAACGGTCTCAAGCTTGAAGAGACGGTGGTAGTAAAACGATGTAATTTGCAGACGTTTTGAATTTCTCTACAGAAAAACTCCAGCAAGCATGGTATGGAACGGACACCATTGTGTCTACACAATGGTGTCCTTTCCATATCATGCCCTGATCAATTCTTTTTATTTTGTTTCTGTTTTGCCCAGGAATGGCTCTCCCGAGGCCAATATGAATGAATAAGATCACTTTGATGTTTAAAAAAATGAAGAAAATACAAAGTGAGTCATAACTCATAACATAACAGTATTAGTTTTCACAACTCCCTACACCCAGAAATAAATACCATTTTTACATTCAATGTTTGTAAAAAGTGTATTTTCATTATGGTAAAA